CGGGGTCCTGTGCCCCCGCCCCGGTCAGCGGTGCGGGGCTGCGGCCCCGTCAGCGTCGAGGTGAAGCAGGAAGGTGGTGCCTGTGCCCGGCTGTGCGGGTTTCACGGTGCGGGGCACACGGCACCCGAAGTGCTGTGTCATTGTGCGAGGGAGCTGGAAACAAGTGCGGGAGAAACTTGCTGCACCTCGGCTCTGGAGACGAGAATCGCTGGGGAGGGGAGGGGGGAATAACGTGGGCAAAGAACATAACGTGCTCTTCTGAACCTCGTCACCTTTGGAAGCACAAGTGCTTGTGTGTGGGTTTGCTGTTCATAGGTACAGATGTATTGAATGACGGCATGAAATCGCTACTTCAATTAAGCAACTCAGCGTCCTTTTACAGATAAAATCTTGGAAAGATCCCTGTTAGGGCATGATTGGTTTCTGTATGCTCTGAATTCTGGGAATTGTCTCAAGCTGTGGATAATTAGAAAAGTTATAAAACATGATGGATGCAATGTCAGGGGTTTTTTTCTGTAATGTCTTCATTATACGTGACTTTTTTGTGTCCTTACAAGCCATAGGTGTTCTGAATTTTTTTGCACTTACTGATGGAAAAAGTTATTAACATAGTTATGATGATGGCTAAACTAAGCTGAGAAGACTAACCCTTCTTTTCCATATGTGTTTCCTAAACAGGCAAAAAATGTTTATTTTATTTAATGTAAATTCAGTATTGGCAGGCGGGATGAGGGAAGTCTTTGAAGAGTGCTTCTGAACCTTGGATTGGTCAGAGCACTGAATTGCTGTTACAGAAAGTGAAATTAATTCTACTTGAATCCAGTTGTACTATCAAAACCAAGTACTGTGCAAACTTCCTGGGTAGAACAGAGAAAAAAAATAAGAACCCCGAAAGAGGCTTATTTAAATCTTCAAGTGAGATAAGAGTGTTGAGAAGTTATGAAGAATGTTCAGGGCACTTTGAATGTTATCGTCAGTGCTTAGGAATAAATACATGCTCAAACCCATGGCAAATTGTTGTTCTTTCAAATACCCTTTCTGTGCAGCAGCAGAACTTTGTGTTCTATTACTCCTTTTTTTATCCAAAGGAAATTAGATAATGCAAACTTACACTAAGGTGTAAAAACACTGTCTTTTTGAGAATTTCTTGTATTCTGACTTAAAATTTTTCTTCAAACAATTTATCAAATCAAGTTTATGTATCAAAAGCAGATGTGTCTTATTTTTATAGGATGATTTATTTGAAGTATAGCATAAGAGTAGCCTGATTCAAGTGTATGTGAATTGGTCACTAAAGAACTTTTTGTACAGTGCTTTTCAGAATGTAGAATGTAATGTGTAAAATGATAGACTTTTAGGTTTTTTATTCTCTATTCTGAAAACTGTTTTTGTTTTCCTTTCTGAAGTGCAAAATACAGCAATCTGTGATTAGTTTGTTGTTGGGTTTTTTTGTTTGGTTGGTTTTTTTTAAGGAGTCCAGCCTGACAAGTTTACCAAAATTGCTTGTATAATTTTGGTGTATATCAGTAATGCTTAATGAGAGCAGGCTCTCAAATGCTCTTACTGCTTTCAATCCCAGATAATGCTGTATAATTTTTTATTTTTATTTAGTCACAGACCTATAATGTAGGAATAATAACTTCAGTATGCAGTTCTGGGGTATGGTGTTAACATACTGATACTGTAGAATATGTGAATATAATTTACTGTAGAGTATGAGAATATAATTTAGGTTTTACTTTCACTCTCTCCCCCTGCAGTGTGGAAGATGACATGGGCCTTTTTGACTCTCCTTCGCTCAGTGTGATTTGCAGCATGTTTTCAGTCTGCCCAACTGACCTTTTATGATTGAAGCTGATGTTTGTTGAGCTGGATACTAGTTGATAGGACTTTTTTTTTTTTTTCAGATTTGTAGATCTATCTGAGCTATTTGTATGTTAGTAGATAGAAAAGTTTGACTGTGTTCATTTTAAACTGTTTTGTGCTTTTCTTTTTGTATCTTTGAAATTCAGATAAATGATGAGTGGTAAAGCTTTTTTATTTTGACCAAAAAAAAAAAAAAAAAAATCCATTGCATAGGCAAAGCTTATTGCAGATAGAGAGTTCTAAAATAAAAATCCTTCCCTTTGAGCAACTATCAGTACAACTAAATTAAAATAATGCATTTTTTTTATACTGCATTTTTTTCTTCACCTTTTCTTCCCAGTTCCTTCTTTTGCTGTCCTTAGGACCAGTATGATTTCTATGCCGCTTCATCTATTCCCATTATATGATTTGAGTAGGGAACTTTTAATTGTAATGCCTTTTACATGTGTGTGTCTTTAATAAGCTACAAATGGTTTTTCTTGTCCTGGTGAATCTCAAATATTAATTTTGTTGCCTGTCAATGTTAGAAAAAGGAGAAAATGCAAGGACCAACCTTCATTCTTATAAACTTAGTTGTTCACAGTGAATTAGTTTTTAGTTTTTTACCCTACTAGCTTTTTTTTTTCCCCCCATACCTCCTCCAATGTTTAATGTTACTTTGAGCTTTAGTGTGGATGAGCAGCAGATCGCTTGCTGAATTGTAAGGGGAAGAATAGTGTTAATCTCTTTAAATATACTAACAGACTTGAGAAATACGAGGTCATAAGTGTCAAAATTAGAGTGCTTCTTATTTTGGTAATATTAGAAAAAACTTGGTGTCTGTCAGTAAAAGAAAACTGAGAAACTGTTTCCTGGTGAAGTAAACTGACTTGTATTTACACAGCGATTCTGAGCCTTCCTGATTTTTCATTTTTGTTATTTTTCTAAACTAACTACTTTGAGCGTATCTTTTTTTTTTTAATAATGAAGCATTAAGTGGATGATCAGGAATTTGTCAAGGGTCATGTGCCAGATCATAAGAAAAATAGAAATTAATTTAGCAAATGGACATTTAGTGCCTTACCTCTCTAAGGAAACAGCTTCTGCTATTGTGGAAACCCAGAAGTAGCTGGTTATGGGTAGCAACTGCTGTTTGTAGATGCCTCTTTCAATTTGCCTTTGCTTCTGCATCACCAATATGTTTTTGACCTTTATCCATAGACTGTAAGCATCTGATCTGAGTGAGCTGAGGACCTGGGTGTATGTGTTTTGGCAAAAGCATTTGATACATAAAAAAAAAAGTGTTTAAATACAAACATGGAATTGTATACTTTTTGTTGAACTTTTTAAGTACTTTGAGGAGTCAAGTGCTCAATACTGCTTTCTTTTTTGCAGTGGTGCTACAGCTTGTCCATTTATGTGCAGTGTCCTTTATGAATGTATAGTCCTGCATGCCATGATTTGAAGCATGTAATGATTTTTTTTTACCAAGTTGCATTTTCACTATAATTAAAAAAATTGTGGGGTTTTTTTAGATCTTTCTTTTAGAGCTTTTTGATCTCATAACCACTTAAATATCATCCAGACTTTTCTGTTAAAGAGAAATTTGTTACCAGCCAAAGTCTACTTTACCCAGAGGCTGAGCTAATCTATCAATGAGACATGGTACCAAAACAGAATATTTAGACCTCTTTTTCTGTCTTTAGATTGGACTGGTTTAGATGAAGATGAAGATGCACACGTCTGGGAAGACAACTGGGATGATGACAATGTTGAAGATGATTTCTCCAATCAGTTAAGGTAATTTTATTTTTAACTTACTGTTCTAGAAGCTGAGTAAAATGTTTAAAATGGCATTGTTTAGTTAAGATCTGAAAGTTTGAAATCTTATTTTGAAAAATAGAGATCTGAAACTGAAATAAATGAAAGCTCTGCTTTGTGCTTTTCTATCTAAAGCCTTTCAGAACCAGACTTGAGGGATTACAGCACAATTTGAAGTACTGATCAACATTTCATCTTTTCAAATTGTACTGTGAGCCCCAAAATATGCCTCATGTCACCGACATGTTCAGGCTTTTGTGGTGTTACGCACCGTAGTACAGAGATCTCTGCAAATTGTGATACAGTTAACACTTCTTCAATTTAACGTGAATAAATCCTTTTCTAAGGACTTTCTACGTGTGTGTGAAAATTCTCAATTGTAATGCAAAGATTAATGGCGAGGGATCCAAGATTATCTCTTCTGTGCTGTGTGGTATGCAAAATGTGCTGGTACAATTTTTTTTCCCTATGCTTTCAAATAGCATTACTGTTCTTTGCCCAAATGGACAAATTTTCCAGAGATCAGTTATCTATATCAATGTTAAGGTTCCCTTCTTGTGTGCGATGAGCATGCTGTGTATGAGCAGCAATAGCAAAGGAATTGTTTATAACATCCTTTAAAAAAAGGAATTGCAATTTGGATACCTCTAATCCAGTTGTTTAATCCTCTTTGTCACTTGTAGTTTCATTTAATCCTTTACTGAAGTGTAATTATATTTTAAATTGTTTCAAGCATCAATACAAACTCACATTTTATAATTAATCCCTTGGTTTGCTGCATGAGGAGCAAACTGTCTGTAATATAGCCTGATTAAACAGTTCCTGGGTTGAACTCCCTTATTGTACTCCAGTGAAAGTAATCTTTTATGTAGAAGATACAAAAATAGTCTTTGGTATAGTTGTTTTTTATAAGATTGAAAAGCAGTTAAACTGTAATATTGGAAAACAAGTTGATATGCGGTGAAACAGACTTTCAAGGGGTAGCATAATTCTTGATAAACACAGTTGATCTTGATAAACCTTTAATAACTGTGCCTTAATTGTAGCCTGTAGTATTGGTGACCATATACTAGTGTTAAAATTATAGTTTGCAGTGTTGTTTGCTTGCAGCATGTTTTTATTTCATCTTTAGAAAGAAAATGCCACAGTCCTCCACTTCTAAAATTCCACTACTAAGCATGTGAACTAATCTGAAATATTTTTAGAGCTCTGCACTACTGTATCTAGATACACGTATGCTAAGACTAGGAGATAGAACAGGATGCAGTTCTGGCTGGTGTGTTTGAAGGCAGGTGAGAAGCAAAGTGAAGACAAAGCAGGAGTGATAATGTTTGCAGTTACAAACTTGCTGTCCTGACCATGACTAACTGGAACAAAGCAGTCCTTTTCCCTCAGAATTGTTCACTGGAAGGTTTATTGCACCAAGTTTTAAAAATAGTGCACTCTGGTATATTTATTTAAATACATACAAAGAAAAAGCTGAAATTATTTGGAAGTACATGCATTGAAATCACTCAGATCAGTAGCTCATTTCATTTAAGGAAATCTTGAGAGTAACTAGTACAAGATATTTTGTTTTTTCTAACGTGTCTGAAGTTGTTGCAGACTCACAGGTGCTGCTTTGTGCCCTATAGTTGTACTCAGCCATGGTGGGTCAGGGGACAATAACTATGATTAAAACAAGTATTTGAATTTTTCACTTAGAAGTCACTTCTAGTGATCTAAGATACTAAGCTGAAATTGAAGAACTACAGAGTAAGTGGGGTTGGGGTTATTGGTATGAACCAGAAAGCAGTATGCCACGTTCATGTTCTAAAGTGATTGTATATTGTGCAGTATATTTAATTTTAAAAAATTCAAATGTCTGACAGGTTTTTTGGGATGTTTTAACGTACCTTTTTTTCTATACAGAGCTGAATTGGAAAAACATGGATACAAGATGGAAACTTCATAGTTTTTGCTGAATATGGAGTGGTTTAACATTGAACTGTGGGATAGACTATATTGAGAAAAGAAGAAAAGATGGAAAATGAGAAGACAGTTCACTATCTACTTGGATTTATTATTGTTTTTGTATAAAAAATAAAGTTTTTAATCTTAGCCTAGTTATACATTCAACCTCTACTAAACTGGTAACTTGCATTTTGGTTTGAAATGCCTTGTGTGGCAGAATTCATGGACTTGCCTAGAATGCTACTAATGCTCTTGCCCTGGCTGATGCTGTTGCACCAGCTCCCGTCACGGGGAACCAAATAAGCATTACAAGAGTGAACACTAGTGAATGTTTCTGTCATAGGGAGTGTCGAGATACCAAAAAGAAATAAAATACTTGTATATTCCAATTAAAATGCAGCAGAGGTAGAGAGGAGTGTTGGAGACTGATAAAGCTTATTTTACATCAAGATTTTATTTCATAATGGGTCAGGGTTTTGGTTTGGTTTTCTGTTTTGTTTTTTTTAAGTAATTTCATATGGGTGCCAGTTTGATAGCCTCAAAAAATAAAAACCGCTTTAAAGTGCATCTTGCAACAGCAGAAATCCAATCTCTCCAAACTTGTCCTGTCATTTCTCAAGCCTGTCAAAGAGGAGACCTCTGGAGGTGAGAGAAGTTCTGTTCTCATGCTTATTTAAGCCTAGGAATCTCTGCTGAAATTGCCTCCAATTTGCCAGCTACAGCAGTTCATCTGTATCACACATATATGCCTGCTGAGAACGGAAATCAAACTTCCAACTCATTTCATGGAGGCCAACAAATAGTTGCCAGATAGATGCAGCAGTAGTGGCTGGATTCGATTACTCTGAACTAGAAAACAGAAGGTGGAAATTACAAAACCTATTACCAATTCCATGAATCCTCCCCAAAGGAGCTGTTAAAGCTGGTGTATGGAAAGACGTAGGGAGATACAGTGATCCTGGACCTGTAGGCCATGGTTGGAAATTAATTTATTTTCTTTATCAAAGGGACAAATATGGCTGCGTGCTCCTGGAATTTGAATTAGCTGCTGCTTTTCTCGGCAGTTCACTGTAGAGAAGCAGAGATGGAATTGTTTTTTAAAGTAAGCTTTCAGAATAAATGTATTAGTTGATGGACATGCAGTAACGGTATTAAATACTTCAACCTTGTTAACTAAATAACTGAATATCTTGCATTGTAATTGCATTTAGTAATGCAAAATGCTAGGAAGCTCCTCCCCAAATTATTTAGGTGATGCTATATTTACGGTGCAGGCAAGATTTACTGTCACCCTTACTGCTTTCTGAAGATAACTCTGTAAAGACTGAGAACCTTCCGTTGCCATTGGAATGTTTCTGCAAAACTAAATGTTTCAGATGTTGGGTGCATTCAGTTTGTCCAGTTCTGTTGGGAAAAGAAAGGGAGACCCTTCCCACTAGCCTTGCCCTATGTTCAAGTAGCTGACTTGTTCACATTGGAAGGTGTGGCTCACAGCCCAATTCAGTAGAATACAAAGTTCTGGAGTTCATATTTTGACAAGTAACAAATAAAAAGTCTATGTATTGAGCAGCAAATCGCGATGCAAACACCCTCAAGTTAGTTGGGAGTTCAAGAAAAAAGTACCTTCAGTGCTGGTGTTCGTAACACCTCGATATTGGGAAGCTGGGTAATGAGACTGACCGAAAGAAGATGACAAAAATCACGTAAACCTCTGGTGCAGTCTTTGGGTAGAGACGGCCGCTTTCCATTACAGCATTCTGGAAACCTCCCTAAAGCAGCCCTGTCCCATCAATTGCTAGCACCAGGAGGAAGCCACTGAGGCAGAAAAGCATCTTTGCCTCAAGAAAGCTTGCTTGGGTTTTGCTGAGCCACAGTTGTCTCGTGTTAGTGTCTATTTTTTGCTTTCTTTGCAAAGCAGAATTGGAAGGGAAGTGTAAGAGCAGAATTAGAAGGGAAGTGTAAGCTGAGGTAGTCTGATGGATCTGCACTCTTGCAATAATAACCTTCAGCTGCTAGTACATGACCTGAAACCCTGAGCTAGAAAAAAAAAAAAAGAGCACTCTTGCTTTGAAGGTCGGTTTGTTGATAGGCTCTATGTTTAGCTGCCTGCATAAGAGAATTTGCTGTAAAGGAGTAAACAAGAAGTTACAATGCAAAATGCTGTGAGAATGTAGCTTATTGCAAAATCAAGCACTTCATGGAGTCTGGTGGCATGTATAATTACCACTCTATTCATTTTTTTTGCCCTCAAGTTTATTGCATGGTTATACAGGTCCTCGCTTTCTAGTATAAAAATGACTTCGGAACGTTTCTTTTTCTTGTTTCTTTCTAAAATTTTTAAAACCCAACTGGTTTTGAGACTGAAGCTAAAGACTTTTTTTGCCTTTTTTTTTTGTTTTGTTTTTTGTTTTGTTTTGTTTTCATCTTTGAGAGGTTTGGTGTTCTAGAAGGAAGCTGAGGTGATTCAGGATGTCACCATAGCAATTCATCCTAATTCACCTGCTATACAACATTAAAAGGAACTAATCTTTCCATGTACTTAGATGCTTGAGTTTTTTAGATTGGCCATGCTGGGAGAGGTTTTCTTTGGAGGTCTTTCCTGGAGATGTTCCAGTGATCCCTCTTAGCTGGGGAATGCATTAAATGTGGGAAGCAGGAACGCTTTGGAGGTGTGAGGGAGGACACATTGAGAGAAAACAGGTATTTGGGAAGCAGTATCTGCAGCCTGGCAAGGTTGGGAATGTGGTGGAGAGAGAGAAGTTTGGCAGAGATCTGAGTGCGGGAGGGGTTGGGCTTTCTAGTTAAGAAAGTAGGACAATGTGGAGGTGTGTGTGTGTGTGTGGCGATTGGGTGTGGACTGCTGAGTAGTCTGTTCCTCATTGTGGGAAGGAGATTCAGGTCATAAAGAGGTTGATGTTGTCCTGTGTTTGGGGACCTAACCTCCTCACCAGCCTGTCCCTCAGCCATGCTGTGGGACCCTTGGACACAGTGTCACTAGGCTGAGCCATGCTGGATGGAGTGTGTGGCACATGTCTGCAGCTCTCCTCTATGTGAAGACTGAGGTAGCGTTTTGCAGTGTGGGGAAGGTTGGCTTGCTCTGGCCTAGATCCTGAGGATGTCCCAAGGCAAAGCACTGTTGAGCTAACTCAGAGGAAAGCTCTGAAGGGTCCCCAGTTGCTAATGACTTTGGTGCTCTCGCTTTACCTTGATCCTTAAGAACCTATGCACATGTAAGGAGAAACAGATCACAGGGAAGCACACCAAATGGTAAGCAGGCAGAATTAAGGCTGTCTGGAGAGCCTTCAGTTCAGCTCTTTTGTCCCAGACTCTTGCAGTTGTTTTCCCATCGGGTCCCTGCCTCCCTCCGCTGGCTTGCACAACGGCACAGACTGCTTAGGTACTTTCTGTTCCTGGGTCACGGTGTGTCCCGTTCCTCACTTGCTGCACCGTGTCCATGGCGTGCTGTCCCGGACGAGTAAGTTTGGGTCTCTGTATCGCACCAGTCTGCGCGCTTTGCAAATGCTCTAATACATTTTCCACCATCCCTGGGAGACGGGGAGCTGTTTTCCCCTCTTTGAAGTGTGCACTAATTTTAAGTGCTCGGTG